AACCAGACAGTGATAATGTGGTCCGTAATCTTTTGTGAAACATGCAGGAAAACACCAACTGTGACGAGAGACCACCATGAACACGTTATGTGAACACGAGGCAGCGGCCACTCTCTCCACCTGAGCACTGGAAAAGTGGAGATCCCAACTACTTGGCCACCGCCCGAGGAACCCCACTCCCCGCCCACCACCATGCCAGAGGCGTGGGCACACTAGTAAGGATGCAGCTGTGGTGGGCGTGTGCCAGCATCCTCTTCCTGTTGACGTGGGCGGTGCAGGCGACGGGTGTGGAGCACGGGCGGGCTGTAGTGTCCACCGCCACCGTACAGAGGCACCAGCGGTCACAAGCCCATAGCCAAGGCCCGCACGCCCGCGCCAAGTCCCAGGCCAAAACTCGCCGCCACAGTCGCAATAACCGCAGGAGACGACCAGGTGGGTTAATTGACCAGATGTGGGGTGTTGGCACCTGTCTCTATGTCCCCCTCCCCCCCTCACCAGTGTCTTCCTTGGCCGTGTGTACGCTCTCTGGTAGTAAATGAATATAAGTAGTCAATTAGTAGTTAGCGAGCAACAAGTTTCTAGTATAAGTAAGGGTGAGGCTACACAAATCATGTATTAGACTGTGTGTGATGTACTCAACAGATTTGTCACTTTAGTCAAGTAGTGTAAACAAGACGTATATAATCCATTTTGGGACTTCTTATATAAAGGTTTTCAATCTCTATGACAGACAAAGATTACTAACGGGTTGACTTAGTCCCTAGGAGTGGACTGTGGTGTGGTAGGTCAGGAGGATGAACAGTCTTGGTGCCGAACATGACGTGAACGTAAACCGAATCTACTCATCATGGTCGCCAACTCACGGCCACTTAGTGAGTATAGAAACATACTCACCAAAGACTACATTCAATACCACTAGATAAAAATATTATATGAAACAAATAGCTAGGCGGATCCTACAGTTAAATAAGTTAGATAACCATGAAATATATTCACGCTAGACTGTGGAGGCATGAAGAAGGGCCACCGCCACCGCTTCCTCGCCACTCATAATACAAAACAAAACCAAGATACACGTCTTAGTAGCATCGGAAAACTTACCTCTACGGGAATTGAAAGTAGAAAGTTTGTCCTCGAGAAAGTCAGTAGGATTATAATGAACGATCTTTATGATAAAATTTTTAAATGGTTATCCACCATCGTAGACATAATCTCTTATAGATACTTTGCATTATATTAGGAATTTGGCTGTTAATAAGGAATGTCTACGCTGGGGAAACTTACAATGCTGAAAACTGCTTCAGGAAATGTCAAGACTAGGCTCATAGGACATTTTCTTCCAATATCTTAAAGGTAACTCCAGCTATAAATTTAAGTCAAGCCGTGCACGTCTCCCATTTCAGTTCCAATACTCTAAAGTGTTTGTTACTGTGGGATTAAGTACATTCCCAGCACCCTTAGTCTTCTTAATGACACTGTTAGAAAAGCATTTATATTCATCCGTAAATTTTAAACCTTACCCAAAGTTGGTCTTCAGTTTTTTAATCTACCAGTCTACCAACAAGGCTCCTCATAGTTCTATTGGTAAAGGTGTGAGTTTCCCTTGACTTTATAATACCATTTTCTTGCTCCCTTCCAGTGATCATTTAAAGAGAGAAAGAAATGACGTATGTTGAAATTCAGTTACATTACGTTACACGAGTAGAAGCTCACACTTATTCAATCCAGCTTGACTGTGGACGTGATATTAGTGAAGGCGTGTGAGTGTACAAGATTCTCGTGATGTACAGAAGTGACTGGGTGGTTAACATCATATACAAGATAAATGTTTCCAGTTAATGCGAGGTACTGTACTCTCTAATGGTATTCATCCTCGGTACATGACGGTATTAAAAATTTTGAAATTAAGCGTCAAATCACACACACACACACACACACTATGATTATCTATTACATGACTGAAATCTCACTACTTTATCTATCTGGATTATTAATATGGTCAGTCTCTTATTGCATGTCTGACCGCTCATAAACTAATCACATGTTTTTAATTTAATCTAAAAATATAGTCGTTTAGTCGCAATGAAACTCAAGGGATATTCCATGAATTTATATTTATTATGCCTGTTGTTAATAAAATAAAATTTACTTCTCCTAAAACGTGGTATAGAAATATTCCCTAGATGGTTCAAACGTCAGCGCCTGCCATCTGAATTAGACGCGAGAACCTGCTAAGACTCTTGATGATGCGTGATTGTTCAGTGATACCAAGCTTAAGCCTCAGAGCCTAATGAGGTTATTTGTTTAGGTCTCCTACGTGCTACAACTACAGTATATACTACATGATAAATACCTACAGTAACACGGAATATAAAGAGGTTTGGCGTTGACCGTAAAATAAGCAACTATTTGAATTTTCGTATATATTGTGTTAGATCCCTGGGGTGATTGTAAGAAAAACGCTAACCTAACTTACCTATTTTTACCTAACCTAATATAACCTATCCTATCTTAACTTAACCTAACTTATCCTTTTTTTAACCTAACCTAACTAAACTTATCCTTTCTTAACGTAACCTATTCTTTCTGAGCTTCACCTATCCTTTATTAACCTAACCTACCTTTTCTTCTTATCCTAAACTAAACTTCCTTAGTGCTACAAACTCCTACATTAACCATCCTCCACTACCTTTTTAGTATAGCTGTAAGAAAAAGAACGAATAAACACAAACCTTTCAATAAATAATAATTCAATATATTATTTTGTAGTTTTATAATCTCTAATTCTTATAAATTATTCCAATGACATTTCCCCCAAGTCAAGAATAGCACTTAATGTTGATGAATTATAGCGATTTAACGTGTAAGTTTTCGCGATTAATTTTTTTGCGATATCAGTCATGGTACAGGTAAGCATTGGCGGGGTGACCTTTGGAGGAGGGGAGGGGGCGGCGGAGTGGGGAGAGAGAGAGTTATTGATCAGCTGTCATTGTGTCTGACGTTAACATGACATTATTTTTTGTATTATATTTTAAGTTGCATTATTTAGTTTACTTCTGATTTAGATTTACGATATATGAAATTGTTGAGTTAAATTTTCTTGGTATCACCACCCTGAAGATTATACACCCTTGTTTATTGCACCTGAAGATTAGACACCCCAGCTTATTTCACCAGAAGATTAGACACCCCAGCTTATTTCACCAGAAGATTAGACACCCCAGCTTATTTCACCAGAAGATTAGACACCCCAGCTTATTTCACCAGAAGATTAGACACCCCAGCTTATTTCGCCAGAAGATTAGACACTCCAGCTTGTTCCACCTGAAGATTAAACACACCAGCTTAGGTTAGATTAGGCTAATTTAGGTTAGCCATAGGATGGTTAACCTAAAAGTGTAATAGGCTGGAGTACCTAATCTTCTGGTAACACAAGCTGGGGTGTCTAATCTTCAGGTAAAGTAAGCCATCGTGTATAATGAAATAAACTGGGTGTCTTTAGGTGGTCCGAAATTTCTTCCTTGGTAATATATTTAAACAATAACGCCGAGAAAAATATAATAAAACTGAAGTCAACTTTTAGAGATACTTAAAAAAAAATGACCACTGTATTGCTTGGGTGAGATTGAATCCAAAGAAAAATAAACTAGGGAGATTTTTGTCAGTGGGGTAAGTAAACACAGTCTCTGGTTTTATTGGTCCGTGGTAGCTCAGGAGTGTGGGTGAACTGCCGTGATGGATGAGGGGCAGCAGCGTCTGGTTTGGCTCAATGGCTGTCCTGTACTTGTACCTGTCGACACTAAACTCTGTGATTTATCTTGTGTCTGACATTGGAAGGTGATGATCGAGAGTTTTAGTTGAGTGGTTGTGGTAGTGGTCGTGATGCGTGTTGTGGTGTTGGTTGTGGAGCAGGGGCCGACCCACCATCCTTGCTCGTGGATCGGATGCATTTCCACAGTTTTGAAGATAGAGAACTGAATTTTGGTAGGAAGATACAGGTAGCTTAGGAAATAGTCGTGCAGTATCTCCTGTCCCTCCACCCGGGCGAGGAACTCAACAGATTTACCATATAATACTGTATCCTTTGCGAGTTATTACCAGAGTTAAGTAATTTTTATCATGCTTTGTGTTCTTTCTCTTCTCTATCCTCGCAAGAAAAGATCATAAAGTTCCTCCCAGTAATGTAGTATGTTAATAGACTGTCTCCACTAACCCCTTCACTACTCCAGGAGCTTTTATTCAGGTCAGAGGGAAAGGGGGGTTAAGGGAATCTTGGTGACATGATGGTAGTGCGCTTGCCTCTCACGACTACGTCCCGTATTCCATTCTCGGGTTGGATGTGAGAAGGGTATTATACAGTGTGACCCAACCAAATACAGCAGGTTTTCTTTGGGTACGTTGGTGTCCTCTTCTGACACTGAATATGGGACACATTTTACACAAATTATTGACAGTCAACTCAAACACTCGATGGAGAAAGATAAGAAAGATGTCAGAACAGAAGGCAATAGATAAAGAAAGACATACATCCAGTAGTTTGTTGATGTCAACTGGTGTGACGTCATAGAAGTCAATGCGGATAAAAGGAAGGGAAAGATTTCTTCATAAAAGCCAAAAAAGTATTTATTTATATTTTCTTCTCCGCAATTATACACATACCTGTCTCATTATTAGTTCATCTACTGATCAGATAATTCTTATTTACCTGTTTTGTGATTTATTTTACCCTTAAGACGTGAAGTTACAGCTTTTCCTCTTTCATGATATCGTCACACTCGCTGACACAACCCAGAGACTTTATCTCTGATGTAAATGCGGTTCTCTTTTATTTTTAGATATTTATACATGTTCCAGATTTTCTCCTTCTGTCTTAATCGATGTAATTTTATCTAATTTTACAGTATTTTTTTAGTCGTTATTGTCCATAGCCTCTTCGGTCTCCTCTTCCTCCTCTTTCTGCCATTATGCCTGACGGTGTTCTCTCTCTCTCCCTCCTACAGACGTGTGTAAGACGGGGCGTCATCGGTGCGATCGTCACGCCGTCTGTAAGAGCTTCAAGAGATTCCACAGGTGCTCGTGCAAGAAGGGCTGGGAGGGCAACGGTCGCAACTGTAAAGGTAAACTTGGTTGTGTTCACCTCCCATGGTCTCTCATTCACTCTACTCCATTCTCCCTCCCATGGCCTCACACTCACTCTACTCTAGTCTCCTTCCCATGGCCTGCCACTCGCTCTACTCCCCCCCCATGGCCTGCCACTCGCTCTGCTCCCCACCCCATGGCTTCTCACTCACTCTATTCTCCCTCCCATGGCCTCTCACTCACTCTACTCTCCTATGGTCTCTCACTCTCCCCTCCATCCCGTGGCCTCTCACTTCCCTCCATGGCCTCTCATTTTCTCTCACCTCCCTCCAGTGGCCCTTAACTCTCTCTTAAGCATATATTTATATACTTTTTTGTCTTAACAGTTTTATTCATCTAAACCATTCTGCACCCAAGAAAAAATTATGAATCATATGTATAAATATTCTATCAGGTGTCGTACATCTGCCTCAGCTTTACACTATGAGTTCCTAGAGTCACATTTTACCAGACCCACAGGATGCACGAGTACATAAGCTTCAGGAAATAATGTAAATTCTCAACTAAAACTTCTCGGACACCTGGGCACGATGGATGTGAAAACGATCAGAATGGAGCTTGTGATCTCGGAATGGTTTCAGATTCTTCGTTCATTTTTCAGATTGCATAGTGCTTATAGCGTTCGAGAAGTTTTTGATGAGTGTACGTCTGTAGTTACTCTCTCACACACACACACACACACACCCGTAGCTTATTAGATCTTCCTCCTTGTTAGACAAAAAGTACGTCAGTGTTGCATGGTGGAAGGCTGGCGGCCCTGGGAACACGGTCGACATCTGACACAACTCATTAGACATTTGATTCACAGTCTGTATAATTTCACGCCAGTTGTGTTTGCCCTGAGCAGGTCCTGGTGGTGATCCTGTTTCTCAGTGGTGGGTCTAGTGTGTTATGTGCGAGTGCTTACGGGCATATTTAACTGAAAGCACAAACACACACACACACACACACACACACACACACACACACACACACACACACACACACACACACACACACACATACATAATTTATTGCTAGATAGAGCTGTTTAGATAAATTCAGTTGTACTTTTTCTTAGTTTTTATTTGCCATCGACTAGTTCCTTATTCGTTGTTCAATGTATCATAAACCATAAGTACAATCGTTTTAGTGTAATGAAGAAGCAGCTCAGGTCCTCGTATCTTCCGTCTTCACCAGCAACGATGAACCAGTAGACTTGAATTTTCTTTGATTTTAGTTATTGTTATTCTTTGCGGTGATCCTCCCTTGTTTTCCTGTCTCTAGGCTGTTCCCCCTCAAGGTCTCATATACCACCGTCCTCTTGTGGGTGTTGTGTCTGTCATCATACTATGTCTTATTGATAATTTAGTTATGTAGATCTTTATAATGTAAGTTATGGATATTTAGTATGTAAAGATGGGGTCCAGGACGGGAAAGTAGGGATAGTTTATAGACAACCTCCCTCACTTTCCTCAATCTTTCCCTCTGGTAGATTTGGACGAATGTCGACTCCGTAATGGTGGGTGTGTGCACCTGTGTACCAACTCTCCCGGCAACTACACCTGCTCCTGTTACCCGGGGTTCCTGCCAGACCCTCAGGACTCCCACAACTGTCAGGACGTGGACGAGTGTGGCGTGGACAACGGCGGGTGTCAACATGACTGTCTCAACACCATCGGCTCCTTCTCGTGTTCCTGCCGCGACGGACACACACTCACCACGGACGGTCTCTCCTGTATAGGTGTGTACTTAATTTTGTCCTTAGTTACAGTATCACAGTTTATGAATATGTCACGTCTTCATGTAGCTATTTTATCACAGTAACGTAAATCATCATAAACTGATGCGTGTTCTACTCTATTTTTAGGTGAGGTGAGGTTAGGTTAATACGTAGTACAGCAAATACTTATATGGTTCAATGAGAAAATCTTGAAAAGTATTGTGATCCAGTGGGGCCAAGTGGTGGTGGAAGTGAGGGAGAGGAGGAGGCTGGTAGAGAGTGAGGGAGGTGGGGAGGAAAAACAAGTAAAGAGAACAAGAGACTGGTTGGTAGGAGAGAAATCAGGTAAAATTTGTCTGGGAAGGAACAGATGAGAATAAGAGACAAGGCAATGGAAGAGGAGAGGAGAAGGAGAAAGAGGTGGAGGAAGATTAAAGAGGGTAGAGAAGTGTGGTACGTAGGAAAAGATTAGTAGATGTAAGGTGGAGATAGAAGGGGGAGGGGGATTACCAGGGCTTGAGAAGGATAGGTGAGGTAAGGAAGGCGGCGGGTGGTGGAGGTGAGGAGGAGAGGGGTGAGGGGGGGAAGGGAGGAGGAGAGGGTGAGGGGAGGGAGGGGAGGGGAGGAGGGGAAGGGGGAGGGAGGAGGGGGAGGGAGGGGAGAGGGTGGGAGGAGAGGGGTGAGGGGAAGTGGGAGAGGAGAGGGAGAGGAGAGGGGTGGGAAGAGGGGAGAAGTGAGGGAGAAAGGAGGAGGGAGAGGGGGGAGGGGAGGGAGAGGGGTGGGAGGGAGGGGGAGGGGAGGGAGAGGGGGAGGGGAGGAGAGGGTGAGGGAGGTGGGAGAGGAGGGGAGAGAGGGTGAGGGAGGAGAAGATAGAGGAGGAGAGGTGAGGGGAGGTGAGGGGAGAGGGTGAGGGGAGGAGAGTGAGGGAGAGAGGTGGGAGGGAGGAGAGGGTGGAGGGAGGGGGAGAGGAGGGAGGAGAGGCAGGGAGGGAGAAGATGGGGAGGGGAGGAGAGGGGGAGGGGAGAGGGGGAGGGGAGGAGAGAGAAGGAGGAGGTAGGAGAGGGAGGGGAGAGGGCAGGGGGGGGGGAGGGAGAGGGTGAGGGGAGGAGAGGTAGGGAGGAGAGGTGAGGGGAGGAGAGGGTGAGGGAGGGGAAGGTGAGGGAGGAGAAGGTGAGGGGAGGAGAGGGTGAGGGAGGTGAGGGTGAAGGAGGAGAAGATGAGGGAGGAGAGGGTGAGGGAGCTAAAGGTGAATGAGGAGAAGGAGACGGTGAGGGAGGTTGAGGTAAGGGAGTAGACGGTGAGGAAGGAGAGGGTGAGGAAGGTGAGGGAGGAGAGAGTGAGGGAGGTGAAGATGAGGAAGGAAAGGGTGAGGAAGGTGAGGGAGGAGAGAGTGAGGAAGGTCAGCTTCAGCGTGACGGTTATCTCCACCGCCAGGCCAGAGTATCAACACAACATTGCCTCTCCACACACGCTTCTCGCCGCTTCCTCATCATCACGGGGGAAATCCTTTAGTCTAAACCTTTGTCAAACTCACGTACTGAACTTTGTCAAACTAACGTACTGGGCGTCATCAAACTCACGGACTGAACTTTGTCAAACTAACGTACTGGGCGTCATCAAACTCACGGACTGAACTTTGTCAAACTAACGTACTGGGCGTCATCAAACTAACGTATTTGGCGTCATAAAACTCACGTACTTGGCGTCATCAAACTCACGTACTTGGCGTCATCAAACTCACGTACTGAACTTTATCAAACTAACGTACTTGGCGTCATCAAACTAACGTACTTGGCGTCATCAAACTCACGTACTTGGCTTCATCAAACTCACGTACTGAACTTTATCAAACTAACGTACTTGGCTTCATCAAACTCACGTACTGAACTTTATCAAACTAACGTACTTGGCGTCATCAAACTAACGTACTTGGACGTTATCAAACTGGTATAGTTCTGGTTTAATGTGTAATTATGCCGGAAGAAGAACTAAGAACAAGAGAGAAGGAAAAGTAACAAGACTAAAATATTACGGGCGCGGATCACACTAGTTTAGATTTCGTCCGGGTTACCTCTAGGGGATCCAGGTTACTCCCCTGTAAGGATGTGAACAGGTTTTTTATTCGCTTTGATTTACTACTTTATTGTTACCGCCACACCATGGAGACAATATGACTGTGTGAATGTGTGTGTGTGTGTGTGTGTTTAGGGAGGGGGGGGGGAGAAGACGTCTGGATTGGGCGACACAAAATAAAACAAAAGGGCAGATATAAATAAAGTAAGAGGTTAGGTTAGGTTAGGTCGAGAAGACGTAAACAAAGAGAGAAGAATATAAGGTCAAGGGTAAAGACAGATGACTCACGGAAAGGAACACAAGGAAGGTTTAACAGAAATTCGAGCTCGGATACTGACACGACTTCATAAAATCAACTACACACATAGATACACAAGAAAGCCAATGAAGAAAATAGGAGTATCTGACGAAAAACTATGCGCATTTGCTCACGATAAACAGATGGTTGAGAGCACAGGTTGGCCCGCTAGCTAGCTGGGCTGGTCGGGTGGTCTGGCTGGCGTGAATAAGGGGACAGGTTTGTTAAGATTGTATCAAAGTGAGTAGTGGAGCTGCTGCACACGGCTACCCACGACTACACGCATTATAAGATCCTGCTTGCCACCTGCACACTCTGGCCTGCTGATCGTGCTCTCCCTGGTCATGAACTCAAGAGAAGAAAAACTAACTTCGCCTCCAGTGCGGCCAAGCTTGGTTGATAACTACTGCGTCCCACACTTGACAATTACAACTCGTGAAATCAGAAAAAAAGGGAATCAAAGCAACTCATAAATAAAAGAAAAATGTGGATGAGTACACCCCATGATAATGTGAGGGTTAGTTTAATTTTTTTTTTCCGTGGGAGTGTTACGTAACTCCAGGTATGCAGTATAAAAGTTGGAACAATTGCTGGACTCCCTACCTTCCACTCCGCTCCAAGGACAACGGCTGGATATAATCCCTGTTGGAAGAATATAAACTTTTTTGGCCTCAAGATTCTGTTTATGTGTTTTACGAAACAAAAAACCTGAACTGCTAAGAACAACAACAAAATCACCTCATCACAGTTTGCTGCCGACGAGTCACTTTTTTTTTCAACGTTTATTTTTTCTTTTGTTCTCACCAGACATTCTTGCACCATGACCAGACTCTCGTATGACTAGACACTCTCCTCCTCCTCCTCCTTCCGGAACTAATTCTTATTTTAAATTATGAATTGTATTTTTAACATTGCTTATTAAGGTTAGTTATTACACCAAAGTCAAAGAGATATTTTGTTTTCCTTGTTTATGTACCATGGCTGTCATATTCGCTGTAATCATGGTGGATTTTTCTTTCTTCACTTCGTTACTTTTTCTTTTTAGGTCACACTTTCACCTTTTTTGTCTACCTCATCATCCTGTGGCCATGTTAGACTATACAGTATTGAGTAAATATGAGTTTTTCCCCAACCTAAATTGTTCTTTAGTTTTCTGGGAGTATTGTCTTCTTCAGATACATTTAAGCCTTGGTTTTATTTTATACAAGGATGGTTCTTTCTTTACCAGTCTTTCTGTTACGTAGCCAAATGAGTACCTTTTACCTGGCAGTCACGTTCCCTCATTAACTGAGACTCTCCTGAAATGTCTTCTCTGGACTTAAGTAAACATTTACACTTTTCTTTCAACTGTCTCTTTGGGTGGCAGAATTATTATTATTATTTTTTTAGAGCAATCTTTGACACCTAAACATGTCTACCACCAGAGCTCCCCCAGGTTATGCCTTCAGACGATTGTTGTCTCTTGATCAAAGGTTTGCCATATTCTTGGTCACAGGAGTATCAGGTAGATGACCGAACCATACCTCTTGTACGATATTATCCTTCCCTCGGTCACACAGTCGTTGTTGTGGCTCTCTGGTGTTCTGTACTTCAACAATCGCTACTTGACCTGTGCATCACCATAACGACCAAGAACACTATCTTTATCACCGTCATCCCTGCTGTCTTCGTCAGTCACCACCAACAGCGAAATTTCCTGCATTGTGCTTAGCTTCAGCTTAAACATCGCACATCAGTTACCATCATCCCCTTACTCCTCTCGCACCTCTCACTATACCTGACCCACCCCTCCCCCTCCACAATCACGCCCTTACCCCCGATCCCCTCTCCTTTCGTCTTCATCCTGTGCCTCACCTCCACTCCCACAGCATGACGGTGCAGGGTGCGGATGAGTGCTCCAGGACGTAGCCTGAGGGGCGTGGTGCTCCTGACAGTGAAACACTCAGACAGGTCCAGACGTCACCAGGGAAGCTTTAGCTTGTCCCCTGACACGCGTCACATCCTGGGCGAGAGAGGGTGAGGGAGTGACCTGGGAGTCATTGTAGAGAGAAGGACTGTTATAACTAATACTCGGCGGTTGTTGGTGTCTTGTTTGACCATGATTGTATTGGGAAGAATTATTGTCAGGTTTGTATTGCGTGATGTATTTCTTGTTGTGATTACAGAGAGGCAGTGAAAATAATGATACGCTCCGGTTTTTTGTGACTTTCCAAACGAGTTTCATCTCATAGAAGTGTTCCTTGTAGACGGGGAGAGAGAGGAAGGGACAGCAGAATCTTAAGTCTTTCAGGCTCCCTGTAATCTTATCATCAGTGACAGGGAGCTGCCCTAGTGGTCTAAATAGTTAGTATACTCATTAACAGTACATCATGTAATACATGTGAATCAAGCTCCCAGGTTTCAAAGACCGAGCTGAATATATAACTTAGCAATAAGAAGATACAAAAAATCCACATACTGTACACACGAAACATCCCAACTGTCGCGAGTAACAGAGTTATAACCGCTTCGTTGTCGAGTTTTACGCACCAACAAACATTATAGCTTAAAAGAGAAAGAGAAATAAATCTCTTTACTGGAGGCGGGTCCCTGCAACCGCCAAACAAGGAATAAATGCCATAAAGTGACAATAAAACTGAGGAAGGCCGCC